TCACATTACTGACCTCTGCACTGCTTCACCTAACTGACCTCCGCACTGCGTCACATTACTGACCTCTGCACTGCTTCACCTAACTGACCTCCGCACTGCGTCACATTACTGACCTCCACACTGCGTCACCTTACTGACCTCCCCACTGCGTTACCTTACTGACTTCTGCACTGCGCCACCTTACTGACCTCCGCGCCTTGCGTCACCTTACTGACCACACTGCGTCACATTACTGACCTCTGCACTGCATCACATTACTCACCTCCACACTCTGCGTTTATTATTATCACTCCCACCCTCCGCCCTGGGCCCGGCCGGCCACACCGAACAATCAGGACCTAAAGCAGAGGCTTCATTGTAGTCAGGCAAATTAGGCGGCCGTCTCAGCCCATGCCGGGGCTTTTCAGCTGCCTAATTTGTGTGAGTACAGACCGCCCAAGGCTGACAGCGCCGGCAAGATCCCAGAAGGAGAAGCCAGGGGAGTGCGTTGTACACCGGGGGGAGAGGGGGAAAGCACCTGCTATGAACAATGTATAGTGATTATCTTTTATATTTTATTCAAGTATACTATGTGTTGGTCCTGAGGAAGCCTCCTCTGGGGTGAAATGCATAGACCACATGTGAGGACCAAGTAGCAGCATTTATACCGCAAATAAGCAGGATAAAGAGCTTGTGGAAACAACGCACGTTATCTGCTGTTACCAGCTCTATGAACTTGTAGTTTCAATATATGTATTATGCTGTCTTGGCCTTAAATATTGTTCTCCATCAATTGTAGTTTACATGGTATTTTAATCACATTTTATTATGTTGTGTATAGTTATATGTATTTTTTTGCTAAAACAATACATATTTACAGGGTTATTCACAAAAGGGTGAAGAGTTTGGAGAAGACAGGAGAAGTGAACAATCTAGGACAACATAGCTGAACTGGAAAGTGAGCTGAATTGGAGATTTTTTTCAAATCAGCTATGTTGTCATAGATTGTTCACTTCTCCTGCCTTCTCCAAACTCTTCACCCTTTTGTGAATAACCCTGTTAGTTTTTATAGTGATATATGCATCTAAAAAGCCCCAACTTGTCAAGGCTTTTATGCCAATTTGTCATATTACACATTGACCACCTGAGAGCCCACACTGGCCACCTGAGAGCCCACACTGGTCACCCCGGAGTCCACACTGGCCACCTAAGAGCCCCACTGACCATTACATTGTGTTTGGGGTGCGGAGGATGGCGGGTGATATCACAAGATTTCTCTGTAGTAAGCTTCCTAAATTGTTGCAAGGTTTGTATGTTGGTTGTTGCAAAGTTTACATAATGTGGCAAGGTTTGTATGCTGGTTGTAGCCCTCCTGCATTTACTAGTGTACAAGCAATGAAAACAACAAGACAACAACACGTACACATGGCCAATTGGATTGTTTATTGAAAAGGACTACTTACATGAAGCTGGTGAGCACTGGGTGTCATGCAGCCTTGGTGGAGGATCGGTGGCATCTTGTGTTTGCTTTGACTGAAATGCCGTCTGTAATGGCCTTTGTGTCTGCGGACAATGTGGTGCGGGGTGCAAGGGGAATTGTGCACCCTAGGAGTAGGACGCTTCTGGGCTGGAGATGAGAGCAAGAGACGAGTGGCCGGTGCGTTAAAATGTGAATGTCACTGCTGTGTCTTTGGCCAGCTGGTATGTAGTGCTGTCGGCACTGTATCCGAGGCCGATGGCTGTTACTGACAGAGGAATCATACAGTGAGCCCTATGGGCACCTGGTCGATGAATATCCTGTGAGAACTGACAGAATTACTGTCGGTTCGACAGTATTGTGTTTGGAGGTATAAAGTACAAGGTGAAAGGAAATGGAAGGTTGATGGAGCAAAGCGTTTCAAGGCAAACCTCTTTGTCAAGCTCAAAACAGGAGTGGGTAAACATGTATTTACTAGTGGCTGGCCCTGCCCCACAATTGTGCTACCGTATTTGGCTCTGCCCCCGCAGTGTGAGGGGCGAGGCCTATCAGGGTCATGTGATTGGGCTGCTCAGTGCAAAATTCCTATTTTTTTGTCCCAGTCTGGACCTGGCTGCGATGAATGCTTGAATGTGACAGGTCTCCTAATGCTGCCTGCGTACAGCAGCGTTAAGGACTTTTGTCACCTCCAATGTAAAGTGACAGCATGAGAATCTAAAACTGTCACTTTACTTCGGAGGTAGCATGAGTCTTAACGCTGCTGTGCACAGGCAGCATTAGGATTAGCGTTGTGATGGACTACAATCTCACATTTAGTTTACTAATTTGTATTTAGATTGTCGTCCATGATGGGAGGGAGCTTGGAGCGGTGACTACTTTACAACACACACAGGGACCATGAAGAACAAAAGTAGCCACCCTCCAGAAGGAAGGACAGTGTCACCACCAATTCAGAGATGTTTTGAGGATCTACAGCCGAGTGATACACAAATAAGATACATTTGTGTATTGTGTTCTTAGTGCACTTCAAGGCAATTTTAAGATTTAGTTTAGTTTAACTGCAAAGTAGGCTCCATTAGTGAAGCTCCTGTTTTAGGAAAGATAACAGGCCACTAATGCATGGGGGCTCTTTTTGCCCTGACACCAATAAATAGGGCCCTTTACCCTATGGCACTCATTTAATGAGGCCTTCTGCCACTGACCAACAATGTGAAAGGGGTAATTGACTTTGACCACAAACATAATGGAGGCATTGATACTCGGTACCATTCTATTGGGGGCATTGGAGGACTGGGTAAATGCCCCTGGTATGTCAGTGGTAATTGTAAATGCTTTAGTTACATTGGTAGGCAGTGAACAGGCAGATGCTAATTAGGTGGTCAGACCTTCCAAATTAGCAGACATCTCAACTCTTCCCGGATGTTCCGGGAGTCTACCGCTATTAGATAGCGGCTTCCGGACACCCGGGAGAGAAACATTTTCTCCCGGAAAGGTTTACTCTGCTCGATCTAGCAGAGTAAACCTTTCCGTGCTGTCTTTTTTTTTTTCTGACATAGGGGCCGCGGTCAGTCAGAAAACAAAAAACGGCATAGGAACTAATAGCTGTATTTCTATGTGCAATAGCCAATAGCAGATTAGCTATTGCACCCGCCCACTGCTGCTGTCAATCAGCAGAGGTTGACCTGAAGTTCTCCATCAGGTCCACCTCTGCTGAATTACTGACAGAGGAATCATACAGTGAGCCCTATGGGCACCTGGTCGATGAATATCCTGTGAGAACTGACAGAATTACTGTCGGTTCGACAGTATTGTGTTTGGAGGTATAAAGTACAAGGTGAAAGGAAATGGAAGGTTGATGGAGCAACGCGTTTCAAGGCAAACCTCTTTGTCAAGCTCAAAATAGCAGTGGGTAAACTTGTATTTACTAGTGGCTGGCCCTGCCCCACAATTGTGCTACCGTATTTGGCTCTGCCCCCGCAGTGTGAGGGGCGAGGCCTATCAGGGTCATGTGATTGGGCTGCTCAGTGCAAAATTCCTATTTTTTTGTCCCAGTCTGGACCTGGCTGCGATGAATGCTTGAATGTGACAGGTCTCCTAATGCTGCCTGCGTACAGCAGCGTTAAGGACTTTTGTCACCTCCAATGTAAAGTGACAGCATGAGAATCTAAAACTGTCACTTTACTTCGGAGGTAGCATGAGTCTTAACGCTGCTGTGCACAGGCAGCATTAGGATTAGCGTTGTGATGGACTACAATCTCACATTTAGTTTACTAATTTGTATTTAGATTGTCGTCCATGATGGGAGGGAGCTTGGAGCGGTGACTACTTTACAACACACACAGGGACCATGAAGAACAAAAGTAGCCACCCTCCAGAAGGAAGGACAGTGTCACCACCAATTCAGAGATGTTTTGAGGATCTACAGCCGAGTGATACACAAATAAGATACATTTGTGTATTGTGTTCTTAGTGCACTTCAAGGCAATTTTAAGATTTAGTTTAGTTTAACTGCAAAGTAGGCTCCATTAGTGAAGCTCCTGTTTTAGGAAAGATAACAGGCCACTAATGCATGGGGGCTCTTTTTGCCCTGACACCAATAAATAGGGCCCTTTACCCTATGGCACTCATTTAATGAGGCCTTCTGCCACTGACCAACAATGTGAAAGGGGTAATTGACTTTGACCACAAACATAATGGAGGCATTGATACTCGGTACCATTCTATTGGGGGCATTGGAGGACTGGGTAAATGCCCCTGGTATGTCAGTGGTAATTGTAAATGCTTTAGTTACATTGGTAGGCAGTGAACAGGCAGATGCTAATTAGGTGGTCAGACCTTCCAAATTAGCAGACATCTCAACTCTTCCCGGATGTTCCGGGAGTCTACCGCTATTAGATAGCGGCTTCCGGACACCCGGGAGAGAAACATTTTCTCCCGGAAAGGTTTACTCTGCTCGATCTAGCAGAGTAAACCTTTCCGTGCTGTCTTTTTTTTTTTCTGACATAGGGGCCGCGGTCAGTCAGAAAACAAAAAACGGCATAGGAACTAATAGCTGTATTTCTATGTGCAATAGCCAATAGCAGATTAGCTATTGCACCCGCCCACTGCTGCTGTCAATCAGCAGAGGTTGACCTGAAGTTCTCCATCAGGTCCACCTCTGCTGACTGACAGCAGCAGTGGGCGGGTGCAATAGCTAATCTGCTATTGCACATTGAAATAGTCAATAGCAATCTAGCTATTAGTTTATATGCTGGTTTTTTTCCCCCTGAGGGCAGCAGCTGTCAGAACACTAAAAAAAAAAACAGCAGATAGCAAAGGAAGCATTAGCTTCTTTGCAGAGGGACAGTTGAAAGGTGTGCACTATAAATATTGAAGTCCCAACTGTAAATACAGTGATAAGTATCATCCTTCTGTGTTACAAAAGGGATATTCTCCTCTAGCATAATGTCTAGCGAGAAAAAGAAAACGTTTCCATGGCAACAACCTCTCAGCAGTCAGTTGTACGGTTCACACACATGTGTGTTCCGTGCGCTTTCTTCCTGTGCTTCAATCTCATTGTCTCGCGGGAACAGGACCGAGGACTATTGGTTCCGCTTTGCAGTAGTCAAGCTGGACGTGATGCTGAGAGGGTCGGCTCGGGCCTCGCAACCGACAGTTGGCTCGTCATTACGCAGAGGAGCCGGAGCCAGGTTAGGTCTGGCGGCATGTGGGGCTGAGTTGGGACTGAACTCTGCAGAGTGCTGTCTGTGTGGCGTATTATGGGAAGGCTTGTGTAGGCCGAACAGTTAGTTCCCTATCACTCCATATGAACTATGTGGACACACATGGCTCGCTGTGACCTTTCTACTTCAAAGAGAGTGTGTGTGTTATCCGCTGTCATGTATAGACGTGCTGGTATGGGCAAAGTGGAAATATATTTGGGCTGAGAGATATTAAACTTTTCATGTCTTCAAATCCAGTTTTAATATGACTTGGTGTGCTGAACAAAAACTCTCCAACCAGTTTGCAAGGCAAAATGATTTTCACGTTCCTTTTCAGGACATGTAAGGCTTTTATTTGTTTTTGTTTTTTGTATTTATTAATACCCTGCATGCATTTTATTATAGACAATGTACAAACATTTTGTTTTACTTTACGTTTAGCATGGTTAGGGCTTATTTACAACAGTAGCTGTGACTGGTGTTTTTTCTGCACTTGATCAATTGCCAGTCACAGCAAGGAATAAAGAATACAATTGTCTTCTATGTGCCATGTTTACACAACAATACTGGTGCGATGTGCAGTGTGATAATTGGAGACATGTTGCATCCTTCTGCAGCGCACTGGATTGCATGGGAAGCCACTGCAGCGAAGCACACCTTGCTGCTGTGCTGTTACCTAATGATGTATATAGGGCTGCAACAACTAATCGACATAATCGATTATTGAAAAAGTTGTCAACGTTTTCATTTATCGATTAATCGGCTTCCAATTGGTTGGCCCTGTTCACGGCTCCACACGCGCTGCGCGCCACACCTCCTCCCCACCTCACGCTCGCCGCTGCCAGACCCGCCCGGCTGCATCCACGCTCCACGCGCTGCACCTCCTCCCCGCCTCACACTCACCGCCCGCCCCCATACACGATCGGCACAGGGATGTGGGGAGAAGAAGTAACGAGGTGCAGGTGTGGGCGGATGACAGCCGCCGAAAAAAAGGCCACATCTCAAAAACAAGTTGATGGAAGACTGCTCAGGTAAGCCTGCACTTTCCCACACATGGTACTCTATAATGTATTGCTGGGATTTGTTGTATTTTTATATAGCTGGTGGAATTCAGCATTGCGCTGTATAATGTACTATTGCTGGGATTTGTTGTATTTTTATATAGCTGGTGGAATTCAGCATTGCGCTGTATAATGTACTATTGCTGGGATTTGTTGTATTTTTATATAGCTGGTGGAATTCAGCATTGCGCTGTATAATGTACTATTGCTGGGATTTGTTGTATTTTTATATAGCTGGTGGAATTCAGCATTGCGCTGTATAATGTACTATTGCTGGGATTTGTTGTATTTTTATATAGCTGGTGGAATTCAGCATTGCGCTGTATAATGTACTATTGCTGGGATTTGTTGTATTTTTATATAGCTGGTGGAATTCAGCATTGCGCTGTATAGAGGACTACGAATCCCAGCAATAATACATTATACAGTGGTGCAATGCCGAATACCACTAGCTATAGTACATTTAACAGCGCAATGCAGAATACCACCACCTATAGAGGACTACAAAACCCAGCAATAGTACATTATACAGCGCAATGCAGAATACCACCAACTATAGAGGACTACAAAACCCAGCAATAGTACATTATAGCTGGCGGTATTCTGCATTGTGCTGTATAATGTATGGCATTTATTTAAAAATAAAAAAAATTAAAACAAATTTAAAAAGATTTGGAAAAAAAGTTTTAAAGTTTTGGTCTAAATTCATTTTGGTGCATCCCTACTGTTGTTAGCTGCAAGCCTAATTACAATACCCCCTTTCTAAAACACTGCGCAAAAGTGCCTGTAGGGAGAAAAATAGTTATACCACATACTCACCTTTCCCCATGGCAAGGGTGATGTCTTACTACCCCTCGTCCAATCAATGAAGCCTAATCGTGGATAAAATTACTAGCTGTGCTGAGTGAGCGAGCGAGCAACCCCCTGTGCTTCCACAGTAGAGGTGAAGTCACCCAGCACAGTGGCAGCACAGGACACTGAAGAGCACTGAAATGTTTTACACGGTCCCTGTGTCCCTAACAGGAATACAATATGTATACATAATGATTTATACTTGGAGTTCAGCTTTAAAGGAGAACTATGAGGTGAGTGCTTTTCACTCACCTCATAGTTCTAGCCGACCTGTGACAATGAGACTGTCACAGGTCGGCTCAGTAGATCGGGAAGTGAGCGAACACATACCGGTGTTCGCTCACTTCTCGATCCCGTCATGGCTGAGGTTAGGGTGAAGGGAGGACGCTAGTTTGTGTCCTCCCGTTACCCTAAGGAGAACTATGGGGAAAAGCCCTAACCCCATAGTTCTGCTTTAAAGTAGAACTCCAGCCACAAAAATTGAATAGTCCATTAAAAAACGGCTTTTGCTGCAATATTTACCTTTTTAATACAGACATTTCCCCACAGTACTCTTATCTGACGGCCAGAATAATGTTTCCCACTTCTACTGAACCCAGGTCAGCCTGGACCCACCAAAGCCTGTGACTGCACAGTGAAAGGAGATGCTGCACATCAATGAGCTCATCTCTCTGTCACTCTGATTTCTCTTCCTATCAGCATGCTTCTTGTCAGCACATAACTGATTGGCTCCTTGTGCTGCTTTTTCCTCTGACTTTCCAGCCCTGCTGTACAGGGACTGTAAAGCGCTGATACCAGAACTTACACTGCTTGCATTTGAAAATACATTTAATGATGTGTTAATAATTACAGCGCTGAATTAATTTGTGTGTTCTATATCTGCTTGGAGTTCAGCATTCAAATTGTTTCAGTTATCTGTTTTATTTTGTCTCTCTCATTAGGTGTATAATGATGAAGAACTGGGGTATGATTGGTGGCATCGCTGCAGCCCTTGCAGCTGGAATTTATGTCCTATGGGGTCCAATCACAGACAGAAAGAAACGCAAAAAAGGTGTGACTTAGCTATTCTGTCTCATGTTGTTCATGGAATCTAGTTTTTTATAAATCCAATGCATTCTACAATTTGTAAATTCTCTTTGCTTAAAAATAGTTACATTTAGATAGTTAAATGCATCCCTACTTTTACTTAGTGGTAGGCCATGCATGGGAAAAAATCCTGAGAACTTTACTGAAGATATAGGTTTTAGTAGGGTCACTGATGCCGGAAGGTGTACAACAGTGATACCTTGATCCTGTAGGTTGGGAGTCGGCATCTAAGTAGTTGTTGAGCTTCCTTCAAGGGCTATAACTCTGCAGATAAAGTTATTCAAAATATAGAAACAAGTACACAGAATGGATATTACTTTTAAGTAATCAACTATAATGTATTTATATTACGTAGCACTTTAAATAGTGCACATTCACATCAGTCCCTTCCCGCAAGGAGCTTGCAATCTTGGGTCCTTATCTTACATGGGAAGAAACCCATGCAAGCACAAGGAGAACATGCAAACTTCTTGCAGATAGTGCGCTGACTGGAATTTGAACTAGGGACCTCCAGTGCTGCAAGGCAGAAGTGCTAACCACTACACCGCTATAATAATTCAGCATTTAAGTAACGGTACATTCTTAATGATTTGAACTAAGCCTGACTCTATACAGTTACTATAGCCCTTCCAATGCCATACCCCCTTCCCATTAAACAGGACGGAGATATTGGCTATTCTTCTGGTGTGACATTACTCATTGAATCTGATATGGTTATTTCATTGTAAATATGAGATCAGTTGTATGTTGGAATTAATTAACTTGGCCTACCAAGACAGTGTATTGGGAATCGCTACAGAGCGGTATGATAGAGATCATCTTTGAAGGCTATGTTTAAGGGGCATTTTAAAATTAAATTCTGCTTTTATTAAGGAAAAACACAGCCCTCCTCAGGTCAGTCACACACTTTACATTGCAAGGTTTTACACGTTTTTTTTGTTTGTTTTTTTTTTTTACCTTTTTCCTTGCAAAGGATGCATGAGAGGACATTGCACTGTATTACTCCAACAGTCTGTTAAATTGGAGGGTTTGGTTGCTATAATCTCACAATCAGTCCAATCTTAAACAGAGAACATTGGCATCCCTGCAGACTTGCTGTAACAAACATAAAGACAGTCCTTGGGATTCTTGTGATGTTACCTTAAGTTGTCTGCAGACTTCTGGGAAGAATATTGAGCCAATTATACATTTATAACATTTCTGGGAGTACTCCCTGTGTTGCCATGTGCATTATTCAAAAGTGTTGATAGTTTTAGAAATGACAAATTGAAGTAGAGAGGTGATTTGTATTTAATGTCAATACTTTTCAAAATGATTTTTGTAGCAGTCGAGTTTTAGATTGGCCTGAACTACATTATCAGCTGTTTTTAGTTGTCCGGTGCAGGCCTCTGTTTGCATTCATTGGTTTTAGGGCCAGGTCATACCTAGCCATTGCAAAAATGAACGTTGTTGTGGTTTTTACTTTCACTGCAGTTGCATTATTTGTATATGGCACCTCAAGACACCTACACAACCCACCTGTGCTTCAGTGCACTTGAGCACAAGGCGTGTGTTGCACTGTGCTGCACTAAAATGTAAACCGGATCTATTTTTTCATGTGTTGAGGTTAGGGATGCACCAAAATGACATTTGTAGACTGAAACCAAAATTTTAAAATGTGTCAGACTGAAACCGTATATAAATGTATAGAAATGACCTGCGCCAATAAGCAAGCTGACAGCTACAAGGCACTGGAATTACACCCACCGTGAGTGTGGATACATGAAAAATTAATAACGAAATGTGCCGAGCTACAACAATGAGCAATACAATAATAGAATCTGTGACTTAAACAAATGTTAGTGAATAAAAATAGTAAATGGATCAGATGTGAAGTCTGTAAATATTCATAACTCTGAAGAAGTTCATATATAAACAGCAATAGTGATGAATATTTCTTGTTCCTTCACCAAATGGACCACGTGCACTGTGACGACATGGTGATGAGTTTGTAAGTTAAATGTGTATTGGTGTTGGGTTTTAGTGCATTATGATTTGTGACCTGGTTATGAAAAGACTATCGGCACCATCCCTCGTTATCTCCCTTTGTACTCTGAAGGAGCTCAGAACAATGACATTCTGGCCAGGCTCCTGCTATGGCTGTCTGGAGCTCGTTAGCAGGGGAAACCCTGTGGTGTTGAGCAGACCGATTGTCTAGTGAGGGCAGGGTGGATGTGATGGGATTATAATCTGATCTCATCACTTGCTGTATAAAAGTTTGTGCAGTTGCTCAATAAATCAGAGTTTGTTTCACCCTACACTCGTGCCTCGACCAGTGACTGGGGAAACTGAGAGCTAAAGATCAGCGGGTTTCAATATCTCCTGAGCAAGGAAGAATACAGCGGCGGACATACTCATCCTGAGTACTGGGGTCGTCCGTCACATGCACCACACCAGATGTAGGGGTGCTCACCTTATTGAAAGACCCCAACAAAAGGTCAAATCAGGCAATTCCCTTCTTAACCAGGGGAGGGGGCCCTCAGCTCCAATCGCTCACAGATGTCCTCCAATGGTGTCATCAGACCAGCAAACAGATCATCATATCACTTCTTTACAAGGGAAACAATAACCTCCAATCCTTATCGATATGTAGGCCTCCTCAGTATAGGATGTCAATGCCATGATCGTGTTATCCAATAAGAGAAAGCAAACACCATAGCGCATACCATCCACACAGAGTATGATTTATTAAATGAAAATTACTCACATAAAAGCCGTGGTAATATAGCATTGAATCTCTCTTAGGAGTGTATGCAGGAGAGTCAAATGACCGCGGCCATCGGTCATAGAGATCAATGTGACGTCAGATGCTCCACCCTATGCGCATTACGTCCAGCGTGACTTCATCAGGGATCAGTGAAGGATCGGTAAATATTTACCGATCCTGAAGCTTCGCCACCTCCTGATGAAGCTTTCTGCCCTGCTTGGCCTCCTGACAGCTTCTCTCCTCCCCGCTGGGAGCCGGCAGCTGGATCGGCTCTGTGCCCCCTCAGTTTCCTTTTACCTCTGCTGACACAAGTGGGGGAGGGCAGCAGGGATCGGAGGGGACACAGACCAAAGCTTGCGCCCAGCGGGGAGGAGCGAAGCTAAGGACGCACCGTATTTTCGCACCATCCGCATTTCGCCCATAGAACCATTTGCAGGCGAAATTTCGGTGCATACCTAGTTGAGGTGCTTTGCAGCCCATTCCTTTTAAAGTGGTTCCTAACGCAGCACGGCACAACAACTATGGTCCTTGTATGCCAGAAAACCTCTGTGTGTGCACCCTCCCATTATCCCTGGAACTAGCTTTACTTTGTTATTGGGGATTGTCTTTAACCAGTTGACATCCGCGGTGTTAAACCCCCTTCCCATCCAGGCCATTTTTCAGTATTCAGCGCTGCGGTACTTTAACTGACATTTATTCCGTCATGCAGCGCTGTACTGAAATGAATTTTATACCCTTTTTTGGGGACAGATAGAGCTTTCTTTTGGAAAGGCACTGGAATTACACCCACCGTGAGTGTGGATACATGAAAAATTAATAACGAAATGTGCCGAGCTACAACAATGAGCAATACAATAATAGAATCTGTGACTTAAACAAATGTTAGTGAATAAAAATAGTAAATGGATCAGATGTGAAGTCTGTAAATATTCATAACTCTGAAGAAGTTCATATATAAACAGCAATAGTGATGAATATTTCTTGTTCCTTCACCAAATGGACCACGTGCACTGTGACGACATGGTGATGAGTTTGTAAGTTAAATGTGTATTGGTGTTGGGTTTTAGTGCATTATGATTTGTGACCTGGTTATGAAAAGACTATCGGCACCATCCCTCGTTATCTCCCTTTGTACTCTGAAGGAGCTCAGAACAATGACATTCTGGCCAGGCTCCTGCTATGGCTGTCTGGAGCTCGTTAGCAGGGGAAACCCTGTGGTGTTGAGCAGACCGATTGTCTAGTGAGGGCAGGGTGGATGTGATGGGATTATAATCTGATCTCATCACTTGCTGTATAAAAGTTTGTGCAGTTGCTCAATAAACCCTACACTGTGCCTCGACCAGTGACTGGGGAAACTGAGAGCTAAAGATCAGCGGGTTTCAATATCTCCTGAGCAAGGAAGAATACAGCGGCGGACATACTCATCCTGAGTACTGGGGTCGTCCGTCACATGCACCACACCAGATGTAGGGGTGCTCACCTTATTGAAAGACCCCAACAAAAGGTCAAATCAGGCAATTCCCTTCTTAACCAGGGGAGGGGGCCCTCAGCTCCAATCGCTCACAGATGTCCTCCAATGGTGTCATCAGACCAGCAAACAGATCATCATATCACTTCTTTACAAGGGAAACAATAACCTCCAATCCTTATCGATATGTAGGCCTCCTCAGTATAGGATGTCAATGCCATGATCGTGTTATCCAATAAGAGAAAGCAAACACCATAGCGCATACCATCCACACAGAGTATGATTTATTAAATGAAAATTACTCACATAAAAGCCGTGGTAATATAGCATTGAATCTCTCTTAGGAGTGTATGCAGGAGAGTCAAATGACCGCGGCCATCGGTCATAGAGATCAATGTGACGTCAGATGCTCCACCCTATGCGCATTACGTCCAGCGTGACTTCATCAGGGATCAGTGAAGGATCGGTAAATATTTACCGATCCTGAAGCTTCGCCACCTCCTGATGAAGCTTTCTGCCCTGCTTGGCCTCCTGACAGCTTCTCTCCTCCCCGCTGGGAGCCGGCAGCTGGATCGGCTCTGTGCCCCCTCAGTTTCCTTTTACCTCTGCTGACACAAGTGGGGGAGGGCAGCAGGGATCGGAGGGGACACAGACCAAAGCTTGCGCCCAGCGGGGAGGAGCGAAGCTAAGGACGCACCGTATTTTCGCACCATCCGCATTTCGCCCATAGAACCATTTGCAGGCGAAATTTCGGTGCATACCTAGTTGAGGTGCTTTGCAGCCCATTCCTTTTAAAGTGGTTCCTAACGCAGCACGGCACAACAACTATGGTCCTTGTATGCCAGAAAACCTCTGTGTGTGCACCCTCCCATTATCCCTGGAACTAGCTTTACTTTGTTATTGGGGATTGTCTTTAACCAGTTGACATCCGCGGTGTTAAACCCCCTTCCCATCCAGGCCATTTTTCAGTATTCAGCGCTGCGGTACTTTAACTGACATTTATTCCGTCATGCAGCGCTGTACTGAAATGAATTTTATACCCTTTTTTGGGGACAGATAGAGCTAATTGAAAAGAACTGTCCTACAATATGTACAAGTTTGCAGTGGCAGCTCCTCTATTTCTAATTCTGACAGCTTCCCTTTTAAAGATAATGATTTGTCAAATGTATTTCTGATCTTTAGTATCATGTGATTAATAGGCATATATCATTCATAATAACTTTTTGAATTCTGATTTACAGGACTGGTGCCTGGGTTACTTAATTTGGGGAACACTTGCTTCATGAATTCCTTGCTACAAAGTCTGTCTGCTTGTCCTTCTTTTATTCACTGGCTTGAGGAGTTCACATCACAGTACCAGCTTGAACAGAAAGACACGACACCTCGATATCTGTCTGCTACACTGCTGCAGCTTTTAAAAGGTATTTTAAAAGCCCAAATGGACACAGACAATGTAATCAGACATCTTTCTGGTCATGGAAAACAATGCCGGACAGTTGGTCATGAAATCTTTTTCTAAAACAGTGGATTAACCCCTTCATGACTGAGGCCCTTTTTTCAATTTTTGCACCCATGTTATATTCCACATTTTAGGCCTGAAAATGACGTAAAACCCCCCAACATTATATATTTTCTGAATGCCAAGACCCTATAGAATAAAATGGTGGTAGTTGAAAATTTTTATGTTGCGCAATATTAGCGCAACTCCTTATTAAACCCCAAAATTTAGTGACAAATTTAATTAAATACAAACATGCAAAAATGCATTCAAGTACCCTATTAAAAAAAATGTATCTTATTTGTGTATCACTTGGTTGTAGAGCCTCAAATCATCTCTGAATTGGTGCTGACACTGTCCTTCCTTCTGGAGGGTGGCTACTTTTGTTTCTCATGGTCCCTTTGGGTGTTGACCATGAGGAACAAAAGTAGCCACTCTCCAGAAGGAAGGACAGTGTCAGCACCAATTCAGAGATCATTTGAGGATCTACAACTGAGTGATACATATATAAGATACATTTTTGGTAATAGTTAAGGTGCTGAATGCATTTTTAAGACTTGACCTCTGAGTTTAGGGTCACTTTAAAGTTCTGGCAGATATTCTGATTGGCCAGGTCTGCCTAAACACCATTCCCTAAGCCACTCCTTAGGCATTTGGTGCCATGAACAGAAGTAGTAGTAGCTTGAAAGGTAACTATTCCAGACTTTGTCTTAGAATTCCGTTATAAGTCTACTTATTGCAATGCCATTCTTACTAAACATAGTGGATCTTAATATTAAAATGTGTCTTCTGACTTTTACTGGACCCTATTCATTATTTGACTTGATGATGTTACATGCTCGATTTTTAAATTGAAATCGACCCATTGCAAAGCCAAACTGTTAACTGTGGGCCCCCTACCAATTTTGAAACTATACCCAAAAATGTCTGCAGCTTCATATTCAATTATCACCTGTGGGCTAAAATCCTCCTGTGCTTTAACATGTTTTTTTGGCATTGTTAATCCTAAGCAAATAATTTCCTTAAAGCCTCTGTTACTTACTCTGCTGACTTAGGGCAAAGTAAAAGGTTTACTAGGCTGTTTGTGGGAGCCCTCAGAAATGCTGGAGGCCATGTAGCCATCACCTCTTACCCCCGGGATGCGGTACTCAGGCCTGAACGACAAATCAAATTTCAATTTTTCAAATTTGTTTTTTTATTTCACACAAACCACCAATTAAAAGACATTAAAGGTCACATATGTGGCTCAACAACAATGATCACAAATCATTAACAAAGAGAAAAATAGTGCAGGCTGACATGTATGAATCTAGCAAGCATATCATTCAATATGCTCCTCTTCAAAAGCCTGTCAAACAACAAGTGACAGCTGCATCTCCACTTGGAGCCTTCAGCGATGCAACTCCAGCAAAAGGAGTGGCGGAATCCATGGTGGCATTTATCCTATTTTCAGTTGTTTTCCCCCTGCATTCCTGAGCCGATCTACATTTTATAACGTTATGATATTTTTGTTTCCTCAGCTTTATCTAACCAGGAAACTGTCGAGGAGGAGTTGTTAGATGCCAGTGCTCTCCTTGATGTTCTTCGGACATACAGGTGGCAGATTTCTTCTTTTGAAGAGCAGGTTAGTAGAGTGTCAGTTACTTGGGATGTTCACATTTGCTATAGCGGACTGGCTTCTGATTGGCTTTCTGGATTTAACATTTTATGTATAGTTGAAGCAGATCTAAAACTAATCCGCTTTCATTAAAATAACATCTGGTAACCCTGCCATGAATGTCCTTGTTCTGGTTATTGGGTGACAACACTCTATTTATTTCTCTAAATTGCTCTGCTGCATTGTCATCTTGTCACATGAGCTTCCAAGGGACACTGTTTGCACAGGCAAAGTGTAGGCTTCCTAAGGGTGACTGCTGTCACCATCGGGAAGCCTACACTGAGCAATGACATGCGCATAGACAGAAATTGTTTGATGCACAGTACTTTAGCCTACAAAATATCAGCCAGTTAGGGTTTAGCTCTACCTTGAATATACTTATTAAATAACATACATATTTAGTTAGGAGAATAACAGCACCAAATGTAAAACATAACTGAGCTTTTAGAAAACTGTTAAAGCTGAACTCCAGGCGAAAAGCTAAATATCTATATGGGAACTATTTTACCTGTCAATGGATTTGTAATTCTGTCCATCCAGTTCTGAGATGTACATAGCTTTACCACACAGAGCAGCCTTCTCTGGCAGTGCAGAATTGTTTTTCTGTTGCAGTTAGGTAACATGTGCAAGTCTTTTTCCTTCCTCAGACTGTGACTGCACAGTGAAAGAAGAAGAAGAAGAAGCAGCAGCAGACTGATGATCTTATCTTTCTGTCACTCTGCTTTCACCTTTTATCAGCATTTTCCTTGAACTGTAGTAGAACCGATTGGCTCCTTGTGCTTGTCCTCCTTCCCTTAGTCTGACCTCTGCTGTACAGGGACTTCATGTGGCTGATACCTGATCACATTCTGGTATTTACACTGCTTACATCAAAATACATTTAAATACATTATAAAATATATTTCAAGGACCCTAACTGGCCTAAGCTAAACCATCACCCCCCCTCAAGTGCTTGCTTACCTCCCCTGAAAATGGTAACTTCTTGCATTGTCTACATTCTGGCCATCCCAGCACTAGATTTTTATCAGCCAGGATGTAGGCAATGTCGGAGGTCATTATTGGAGGAGAAAAGTAGCAACTTGGGAGATGATGGTTGGGCTTAGGGTATCATATAATGTATGAACTTTGCATTTAGGCTGTTTTAGTGACTACACAGTGGCATTAATTGTATATCTTCCTGCAGTTCACAATATATATCCTCTAGTCAAGAGTTCACTTTATTTTATGGAACAGTGAACTTAGTGAAACCCCATCCAACTTAGTGGAACATTTTTAAGGTTTGAATAAAGTGGGGGAGACATACAGCTTGTGAAAGTTTTTTTTTATTTTTATTAGTGCCCGTGTACCTATTATTAGTGGGGTTTTCCCTCGCTTCCTATCTGGTGTCCACACATACAAAAGGAGTTCTTTCTCTTCTTTCAGTTACCAGTATAAATGCATATATTGCTGTCTTTTATCTCCATTGAAGATATCCTGCTTACCGATTGTCCCTTTCTTCCAGTGACCACAAAGGAAGTCAGAGAAAATTCTTGCCATAGGTCTAACCCTCTCTCACCTTCCTGAAAACAGGTTGAAGATAATATGCAAGATGAGGCTTAGCTAGTGTGGGTAGACATAGTTTTAGGTGGGTATTAACAGCACCCATCCATAATATCCTAAATCCCTTAAAATGGGGAAAAAAGAGCCTGTCTCTCCTATCTACTTCCTTTGCAGTGTTTAACCCCTTCGTGACGGGAGACGTACACTGTACGTCCAGCCACAAAGGGACCAAATGACTTGTCACGTACACTGTACGTGACGAGTTATTTGCTGCTTTAGAGGGCTGTTAACCGCTGAGAATCAGCTTTTAACATTCATTAATCACTTCAAGACCAGGTGTTTAGACCCCCTTCCTGGCCAGGCCATTACGTTTTTTTCTCTTTTTTTGTATTTTATTTGTCCTAAGTGAGGCGTTAGACACACATATGTGATATAAATATGTAGCCCTATCTGTCCACTAAAAAACAATATATAATATGTGTGGGTGCACTTTGTAAGAAAGTATATTACTGACGTGGAAGAATCACACAGCAAAAATGTCAAAAGTGTGTCAGTCATTTACGAACAGAAACTAAAAACAAGCTCAGTCATGAAGGGGTTAATTTCCTCTGTTATTACAGGTGCCCTTTGAAAACTAATGCTTTAGTCTTTGCTATGGGGCCCAAAAACTGCTTTTATCATGTGACATGTGCTCTTTGGTTACACAGGATGCACATGAATTATTTCACGTGTTGACATCATCATTAGAGGATGAAAGAGATCGTCATCCACTTGTAACACACCTCTTTGACATCCAAGCTTTGGAGGTGAGCACTTTTTATATACAGATTTGAATAGTATGCTTTACTATA